CATCATTTAGCAACTTTTAGCAACAAATCAACCTTCCTTTAGCAACTTCCCCTGAAAATTAGTTGGCAACACTGAAAAGATCTGCCCTGCAGTTATAAACCTGGTAACAGAGACAAAGGCACAACTTTGCCGTGACACAATCTAAATACGAGGTGTTTTGCATAAGTGCAAAGTAAGTGATCATTGTTTTTAGATTAATAGTTGCGTGTATTTTTTCGCGATGTTTGCTTATACGCATGTTTGAGAAATGTGCATAAAATCGATATTTGTATATTTCTACCAGATTTATACTAATGATATTAAAGTTATCGTTCATTTGTCATTTTTGTTGTTGGGTGTTTATGAAAGCTGTAACTTTATGGCTCAAGTAAACAACTTAGTTTGCGCATGCTCAGTTCAAACCAGATTATAGCCTAATTCTCAACGGGCTTCACCTTTTATTTATTTAAAATTTGCATGCTTATTTTGAGTGATTATTAGAAATACTTTGTAATGTATTGTGCTTTCTGCTTTAATAGAAACCTTCAACATCTATTGTAGCTACGACGCGTACACATAAAATGATAAATCATTGTTGACAATAAACAGGTTAGAATCCAATACCGTGTTCTCACTGCAGAAATTTATTATTAATAATCATTCATTATTTATTGTCTCGCTTTCGAGTAAATATCTGAACAAGTGTATGTCACACAATGCCAACAGCTAAATGTCACACTATACAGGCTACGGATAAAAAGGAAGACATATTAAATATATTAGTCTACATTTTTTTTCCACTCAAACACTCATTGACCCCAAACCACAGTGGCAAACTGGTGCAGCTTTATTGTCAAAGTATGACACCTAGTGCTTTTAAATAAAACAACAACATTTAACTGTAAATGTAATCACATAAATGCACAATAAATAAAAATCTCATTGTAATAATATTAAACAGCCTATTCTTTTTGTTTCCCTCTTCAGCAGTTGTCCTGCTTTGCTGTTAATCTATTCACCATATTCTCTAAAACTGCATTTTATTGCAGTTTTTATTCTCAAATAAACAAAAAATGTAGCTTGTTTCAAGGATGTTTATATATTTTACA